TCCACCTGAGCTCACTGTTTTTATAATGGCTCCACCTCTTTCCAGTGTGTGTGTGTGTGTAGACAGACTCAGGCTCCATCTTAAACCATGACAGCCTCATCCTCTCTGCTACTGTTGTGTTATTAGTCTTTTGTTTAAAACTGGGCGGTTGTTTGGGCCTAATGTAGTTTTATTTGCATGTTGTTCCTAAGTACAGTCAGGGAAAAAATTATTTGAACCCCAGCTGGTAAGTTTATTTGAACAGTGAGAGACAGAACAATAACAAAAAAATCCAGAAAAATGCATTTCAAAAAAGTCATAAATTAATTTGCATTTTCATGATGGAAATAAGTATTTGCTCCCTTTGCAAAACGTGCTTTAGTACTTGTTGGCAAAACTTTTGTTGGCAGTCACAGAGGTCAGATGTGTCTTGTATTTGCCCAGACGTTTTTCACACATCTCAGGGGAAATTTTTCCCCATTCCTTTTTGCACATCCTCTCCAAGTCCATGTTTCGTGGCTGTTGTTTGGCAAGTTCAAGTTCAAGTTCAAATTTTATTCGCCACATGCAGTGGCAGGTTGCCCTGCAGTGGAATGAACCCGCCCCCCGACCATACACACACAACACAGACATCACATGGGAATACAAGTCAGAGAACAGTTGCATTACAGAAAAAAAAACACTGAAATGTACACTACAATGGGAAAAGTACAAGAGGAAAAAAAGAGACCTCTACTCATGCTGGGCTATAGAGGACAGCATGAGAACAGGAAACAAAAAAACTCCTCTGCACAGAAAGTACTTAAATGTCCACAGCACAACATTATAGAGCACGTGACCAGCAACAGGGTTGGGTAGGGGATAAGGAGTAGTCCCAGGCAACACAGCAGCCATCCTGTCACTGCGCCGACTCTCCAGCGCAGGCCCAGACCCGCCTCGTGTTCCCAGGAGGCAACAAGCATCGAAGGCATTCGAAGGGGGGGTGTGTGAGTGCTTATCAGTGTAAATGTATGTGTGTGTGTGTCCATAGTTCAGCTGAGAAAGTGTCCTCCGCCCTATCATGCTAAGTAAACAGTCTTCCAGCCAACCCAGGTGGCCTTGCATAGAGTGGGAAGAACAGTCGACACACAGTCGTTACCAGGGAGTTTTTGTTCGGCTCCAGCCTTGAGCCCACAGCTGGCGCCGAGGGGGTATCTGCATTTGATGTCGATGTTGTTGATGTTGTTGATTTTTCTTTTATGCGAGCAGCTCATGAGAATTTCAAAGCTGTTCTTTAACACTCCGACACTGGTCTCTCAATCTCGGGTTGGAGAACCGCAAGTTACCAAACTTGCGGTCCGTGGTCTTCTCATTCTTGTGCTCAGAGAGCCGATTCTGAGAACTCACGACTGCAGTGAGCTGTTCCACAATGTAATCCAACTTTCACTCAGAGATGTTATTCTGAGCTGACTTTTCCTTGATGTAACCCAATATACAACTCGAACCTTTAGCTCCCTCCACAGATTTTCTATTGGATTAAGGTCTGGAGACTGACTAGGCCACTCCAAGACCTTGATATGCTTCTTCTTGAGCCAATTCATTGTTGCCTTCGCCATGTGTTTTGGATCATTGTCATGCTGGAATACACCACCCACGACCCATTTTCAATGCCCTGGCTGAAGAAGGAAGTTCTCACCCAAGATTTAATGGTACATGGCCCCATCCATCCTCCCTTTTATGCGGTGCAGTTTTCCTGTCCCCGTGGCAGAAAAACACCCCCAAAGTATAATTTTCCACCTTCGTGTTTGAGGCTGGGGATGGTGTTCTTGAAATTATAGGCAGCATTCCTACAAACACGGCAAGTTGAGTTGCTGCCTATCATCAGAAGGCATAGCATAGAGTTTCACTGCTATGCAGATGACACACAGCTTTATCTATCTCTGAAACCAAATAACACACCAATTAGTTAAACTGCAGGAATGTCTTAAAGACATAAAGATCTGGATGACCTGTAATTTTTTGCTTCTAAATACAGATCAAACTGAGGTTATTGTAGTCGACCCTGAAATAGAAATATGATATCTAACCAGATTCTTACTCTGGATGGCATTACCTTGGCCTCCAGTAACACTGTGAGGAACCTTGGAGTCATTTTTGACCAGGACATGTCCTTCAACGCACATATTAAACAAATATGTAAGACTGCGTTCTTCCATTTGTGCAACA